ATCACACTGATCTCCCAATTAGCATGGAGTACTTAAGCAGTCAGATCTTTGCATTTTAATTGTAATCACTCCAAACACAAAAAAGCTGTGAGTGACAAACCCCACAGCTAATTTCTACTGATTAAGTCACCCCTTAGTCCCCATTCCAAAGTTTGTGTGGTTTCTGCTTTAAATCCTTAGCCTCTGGACACAAGCAGCTGATAAAGGCAGTGCTTTATTTTAATCTCTTCCATTCAACTCATTTTGCTTCACTGAATCCTGTTCAGGAGCCATGTTTGCATACCCAGGTTGTTTGCCATGTCCTGACGCATGCCCATGGACCTTGAGGTGCTGGGACAGCCCCACATGCTGGCAGCATGGGGCAAGCAGCAGAGGAAAGCAAGGCCAGAGCCAAAGTAGAGTTCACAACATCATGAGAAATGCAAGTGGGAACGGAATTCTGCAAATCTGCCACCAAAGCAGGACTACATGGGAAGTTAACGTAGATATTATGGGCTGTCCTGCCAAATAATGAATGTTTCCAGGTGCAGAGACCCCACAGCTTACTTGAGGCTATGTTCTGATGACTGAATGCTTTCTCAGTGGGAACGTTTTCCTTTTATCTAATGGATTTTCCTCTGTTGCCATTCTGCCTCTCATACTATTACTGTGAAAATTAATTAGGACCAAATTAAATCAGAGAGGGAGTATGCTGACCTAAGAAGAGCTAATCCTCTGTGAAAACCAGAGTGCACAGCACAAACTCAGCTTCGAGCTGATTCAAATCAAGCCTTAGAGTCATGCTTCCTGGAGGTTTAGCTCAAGATCAAGACATGTGCTAATAGACATGACTCTCCACAACATACCCTTCTACAGAATGGACTCCTGTCCATTCTGTTCTGCATGGGCACAGAGTTGGTCCTTGAGAGATAGTTGGTCATGATGGTGATGGGCTAATGATTGGACTGGATGTTCTTAGAGGTCTTTTCCAACTCTAATGATTCTATGATTCTGTGACTGAGAAGGAAAAGAACCGGGAGAGTGGGTCAGTATCTGTGCAAATGCACAGGGAAGTGAGAAGATGGGTGGAACATTTTCTTCTGTTTTGTTCTTTTAGACCCCATTCTGTGGAGAGCTCCCACAGTTGCGGGACTCACATTTTTACAGTGGGTTGTTGTAGGAGCTGTGCCCTAACTCGCATAGTGGACACTTTATCCCATCTCGTCAGAAGTGCAGTGCTTCCAAATACTCTAGCTGGACAGTTCTACCAGTAAATAAAACAGACTGATGTGATCCGCAGACTGGATGATGTGACCAGGCTGAATGTGGCTGTGGGCAGACTGATCTAGTGGTTGGAGATCCTGCCCATGGCAGGGGGGTTGAAACTAGATCATCTCCGAGATCCTTTTCAACCCAGGCCATTCTATAATTCTATAATTCTATGATGGCAGGCCTATCTCTTCTTCCCACACTATCACTGAAGGAAGAACAGGCTTTTTTTCTGCATCACAGTCCTTATAAACTCCCCAGTGAGACCAGAAATCCTCTCTGATTCTGTTATGCACCAGTGGATACAGCACCTCAGCAGGGAATCGGAGACCTGAACTCCATGTTTCTAATTTTCTTGTTTATACCATTCCTGGGTGCTCCCTCTTGCTCTGCTTACATACCTCCCAAGGCATTCACGTGATCCTGCAGGGTGAGTCATCACTGCTGTTTCATAACTTGAAGCCAGGTGTAAACTTTATCCAACAGAAACATAAAAATGCACAAGTGTGCACTTCTCTGCCACCCTTGCTTCCTCTGCATAAATTGCGGTCATTTCCTTGCCCAGTAGAGCTCAGCAGAAGCACTGTTCAGAGATCTCAGATGAGAAAGTTAAATTCTGTGGAATGTGTATACTTGTGTACACATATGTGTTACATTGCAGGGGAAAGAATCTCGGGAGATTTTGAAATAGAATAGAATAGAATAGAATAGAATAGAATAGAATAGAATAGAATAGAATAGA